CCATGGCTGTGACCAGGGTCTTGAGAGCTCGGCCATTCCCCATGGCTGTGACCAGGGTCTTGGAGCTCTGCCATTCCCCATGGCTGTGACCAGGGTCTTGAGAGCTCGGCCATTCTCCATGGCTGTGACCATTTTAAAACACTCCCATCCTTCTGTCTTGGTGGTCAGACCTGATCTTCAACATGGTTGTCTGTCCTTGCAGGAAAACTCCCAGGTGCCTGTGCTGCTAAACTGGCCCACAGCAGTTTTACCTGTGAATGGTACTTCGGTGACTTTGAGTCCTCAGATGCTGATTTCGTTCTCATGTGACCACTGCCAGCCCATTACTGTACCCTACTTGTGAGTACAAGAAAGACCATGGAGCCAGCTCTGGCTTAGGGTGCTGTGTTAACACTCCTGTCTGGTGCTATGCGGTGTGGGTGGGGGTAGGAGCAGCAAGAAGGAAGACCAAGAGGGGGAGGAAAGGAGAGGAGCGAAAGGAGAAGGAAGGAGGGAGGGAGGGAGGGGAGGAAGGAAGGAAGGAAGGAAGGAAGGAAGGAAGGAAGGAAGGAAGGAAGGAAGGACAGAAGATAGGAAGCAAGGAAGGACAGAAGCAGGGAAGGACCGAAGGAGGGAAGAAAGGAAAGAAGGGGAGCAAGGAAGGAAAGGAAGGAAAGAAGGAAGGAAGGGAGGAAGGAAGGAAGGAAGGAAGGGAGGGAGGAAGAAAGGAAAGAAGGGGGGAAGGAAGGGACCACAAAGTATAGGGAATGACACAGCTCTATTTCAGCCTAACTTGCAGACAGGGTCCTCCCTGATTTGGAATTTCCTGTATGACATGCTTGGGAAAGAGCTTTCTGGCCGTTCACTCCCTCTGGGCATGTCTGGAAAATATCTCACACAGGAGCATTAAAGAGGACAAGCACACTGCATGCAGCAGGCAGGGGCAGTCTAAATGTTGAGACTATTCACGCACACTGAAGTGAACAGACACGAGAGAAGTTTCTGCTGAAATCTGGAGGCTTAATTGCAAGGCCTGGGTAAATGTTCCAGGCCAGCAGAGAATGTGTCTCCTCGATGAGCTTGGCTTATCCTTCATGACCGGTGGGGAGTGGGCCAAATGGAGGCAAGAGCCAGTCCTTTCCAGTCTCTGAAAAGGAGCATGCTCACATCTTCCCTGGTGCTGGGCAGACCAGAATGGCCCTTGGTCATCTTCAGTGTGCCTGGGAAGGAAAGAGTTCACAAAAAGTAGTGTCTAGAGGAAGATCGACGGAAGGAGGTTGGAAGGAAAACAGGTCAGGTGGGAGGAGGATTAATCCCAGGCCCAGTGGACTATTGCCATTTGTCCTCATGTCCACAGTCATTCACATCCCCCCCCCCAGCCGCTCTTGCAGAGGCCCTGGCTGTCCATGTGTACCTGCGGTAGTTGTCATCCAGACTGTTTCACCTCCGGCTTCTCCTCTGCTTGCTCTCAGGTTCTCTAACGTGCTCTTGCAGCCCTGCATCAACACTGCCCCTCCTGTACCGCAGGCACAGGTCCTGGTAAATGAGTGGGGTCGAGGTCTTTGGACGGGATGGGCTTTGTGGATATCGGAGGAGAAGCTCATAGAGATGGGGGTTTGGTAGAAAGGAATGGAGGCCGAAGAGTCCACTGTGGTTGGGTGTCTTGTCAGAATTCACTCTCTCATATCTCTTCCTGTGCAGGTCTCCAGCATCTCTTTCCAGGGCCCTGCAAATGCCAACCATGCTCCTGTCATCGCCAACCAGATCAATAACGTCTCCAACCAGGGCCCTGAAGTCTACAACCCGGTTCCTGAAGGCACCACCCAGCTCTCGGATGTCTCCAACCAGGGTGCCCTCTCTGCTGAACTGGATAGGCAGAAGGTACTAGATGCTGCCGAGGCTCTCCTGATTCTGCATAACTCCCCTCAGGCCTGGCAGGACCCTTGCAGCACTTCAGGTAGCTGGCTCCTTGAAGGAGGAACGTGGGGTGGATAGGGTGAGGAAACTGGAGGCTTCTGCTAAGATACTGGTAGCTAGAGTGGGTGGTTTCATCAGCCTGGAGGCCAGAGCCTCGAACTCTTCGGTCTGATTGAGAAGTGGCACCCGGGTTCTACTCAGTGCATCTTGGTTTAGCAAGTGTTTTGCTCAACAGTAGAGGGCCAGCACCCTGAAGTCAAGAAAACTGTGGGGCCTTCCAGTGGCAAGTTCTTTCCGGAGGGCAGGCGGCATATGACGTGGAAGCAATGGGACCGGGTGGAATGACCCCCAGCCCATAGTTGTGTCCCAGTCCGCAGCAGCCTGAGAAGGCCTGGGAGGCTATGCACAGGAGATACGGGTCTGGAACGGAGGGCGAGCTTCATGTTGACTTGGGACATTTTCCATATGGACATGGCACGTGGATGCCTCCCCAGGCTGAATTTTGCCAGCAAATCTCAAGTCCGTCAAGGAAGGGGTTTGTGAATTGAGAGAACTTCATAGCTTCCAGGGAGGCTGGAAAGGAAGGCTTCTGAGTAAAAATGGCCAATGAAGAGCACTGTGTGAGTGTGAAGCCACTATGGGTGGATATCCCGAAACCCAGGATGCTGAATGAAGCCCGAGGGCTTGCTTCTCACAGAGGTCTGTCTGGGTGCCAGAAACTCTGGGGCCGGGGGTGAAAGATGCAGGCGTCAGAGCCAGGATCTTATTCAGACATCTTGGGCTTGACCAAAAGGAAACTATGTCTGGGACTGATGGTGGCCCCTCTACCAGACAGAAGGAATTCAGGTAGGAACAGGTCTGTTCATTGGTCCCAGTGAAAACCTTAGACCGTTTGGTCCATGGCGTTACAACTGGAGAGCCAGGCGGTAACGTATTTGTGATCAGACCTTGCATTTGCGTTTCTTTCTGCAGGTGCTGATGGGGAGTGAAGACCACAGCTGACCTGCCTCTGGAATTCCCCTAAGCCTACACACTCTGCTTCACCGAATGACAACTGGACATCTTGAGAGCACCCTAGGAGAGCTGAAAAGGTGGCCTGCCAAGCACTAGACTGCCTGTCAAATTCTGTTTCTGAGTTTGCAACATAGTTCCCATCCAAACTGCTTATTTCCTTTTCTTAAGCTTTAGGCATTGTGTGGGCTGTTAAAACCTTATCTTGAGGTAGGGTAATGACTTAACTGTGGTTGTATATTCTGGACCTTGCATACCCCCCCTTTCTTTGGTTTTCTTGTCTTCTTGTTTGTTTTTGGTTGTACGACATGGACCTTTCTGTGTGTCCTCAAAGCTGCACTGAACAACAGACTGTTAACGGACCGTTCACACGGTTCTGAGCCCGCAACTATGGCAGCATTTTCTGTCTCGTCATTGTTTGCATACTTGAATAATCCTGTACCTAGCCATGTCTTAAGATATGTCAGGATGCATCACCTGGGTCTAGTAATCTCTGTGTATACACAAATAAAGTTTCATTGTTGTAAAGCAATGAGAAGTTTAGGCTGACTTTTTTTTTTTTAAAAAAAAAATTAAGCCAGATGTTGGTGAATACTGCCTTCTTTGCTCAGGCACTAAGCTAGCCAACAGTTTGTTATTTGTTTTATTAAGGCACCCACATCATCAGGCATCAGGGAAAAGGTTTTGCAAGAGGTACTTACCAACTTGAGCCTGTGTAGCAAAACCTCCAAAGAGGACTTTCTCTTGTCCCATGGCCTATCAGACTTTACTGTGTGAGCAGAGGGAATTGGGACATGGGCAGAGAGCACTTCATTCCACCTTATGATGTGTAGATTACTAGTAAAACCTCTAGGCAAAGCTGTTAGTGCCACATGTCAGGTTTGTCGCAAAAGTTCCAACTGCATCCTCCCTTTGCTCCCAGGATCTAGTCCTCTAGGACTCTAATTGTGTGGTGTCAAGAATCCCATCTTAGTAATTAACCCGCATATATCATTGTTCTTTCAGCTTACACGCTGATTATGGTTTTAGATTTCCCTGCTCCACACCATCAAACTCAAAAGTATTTCAACTTTGGAGTGAAAACAATACACCTTTTGACCACGATTTAGAAGTAATTTAGCACTGTGGTTTTGTATTCAAATCTTTACACTCAATGCAACTGAGCATATTTAAGGCATGATACGGTAATGCAGTGCAGACGTGACTGCAAGAGCCTTTTTCCATCATGACCAGAAATGGCTCCAATTTGCAGACTTCTCTGTGAACCAGGAAAATTGCAAGTCTGTGCATAGAGAGAAGATCTCTGGCAACAGCATTTTAAGAAGGTGAATATTCCCCAGTGCTGCAGCTGAGACGCTTTCTGCACATGTTCCCTGGCTTCTTGAGAGGAATCCATTAATTAACACAGGAAGGCCTTTAGCTCAAAACATCTCATATAAAGCAAGGCAACTCTCATCCTGGTGAGATTTGAGAATGTTTCTGGCCTCCTTTGAACTTTCTTATTCATATATGTGTTTGCTTGTTCATTTATGTATTTAGTCTTCTCTCATGTATGATCCTGAGTGCACTTTCCCCTACCCTCTCTTCTCCACATCCTCCCGCCGACCCCCCCCCCCAAGCCACACCACTCCCTCTCCATTCCTCCTATGTTCCCCTTCAGAGACAAACAGGCCTCCCAGGGATATCAACCAAACATGGCATATCAAGTAACAATAAGACTGTGCACATACCTCATATCAAGGCTGGAGGAGACAACCCAGGAGGAGGAAAGGGGTCCCAGGAGCAGGCTAAAGAGCCAGAGCCAGTCCCCACTCCCACTGTTAGGAGTCCCACAAGAACACCAAGCTACATAGCCATAACATATGCAGAGGACCTAGGCCAGACCCATAGAGGCTCCCTGATTGTCGGTTTAGTCTCTGTGAGCCCTTATGAGCCCCGGTTAGTTAATTCTGTGGGCCGTGTCCTTGTGGTTCACACCATTCCCTCTGGCACCTACAATCCCTTCTCCCCCTCTTGTGAGGTATTTCCCCAAGTTCCACCTAATGTCTAGCTGTGTGTCTCTGTCTTAGTTAAGGTTTCTGTTGTTGTGAAGAGACACCTCGACCACAGCAACTCCTCTAAAGAAAAGCATTTCATTGGGGTAGCTCACTTACACTCCAGAGATTCAGCCCATCATCATCATCATGGTGGGAAATGGTGGCATGCAGGAGGACACGGTGCTGGAGAGGTAGCTGAGAGTTCTGCATCTTCTGCAGGCCATAGGACATGGTATGATACAGTGGGTATGGCTTGAGCCTATCTGAGACAGGAAAGCCCACCTCCCCAGTGACACCTTTCCTCCAATAAGGATAAACCCACTCCAACAAAGCCCACACCTAATAGTGCCACTACCTTTGGGGGCCATTTTCTTTCAAACCACCACACTCTGCTCCCTGGCCCACAAAGGATTGTGCCATATCATAAGGCAAAAATGCATTCAGTCCAACTTGAAAAGTCCCCAGTCTCAACATTGTTTAAAAGCCCAGAGTTCAAAGTCTCTTCTTTGAACTCTTCTTTGAATAAGAGATTCATGCAATCTCTTAATTGGGGTCCCCTGTAAAAATCAAAATAAAAAAGCATATCACACACTGCCGACATATAATGGTGTGGTGGTAGGGTCCTGTGAGGTTCCCTTTGGGGCCAGGGAGGGGTCAGGGAGGGGTCGGGGAGGGGTCGGGGAGGGGTCGGGGAAGAGGAGCTTATGCACAGAGTCAAAGACACACACTCTGGGAGGATGCTGGAAAACAACAAACTCAGTTTATTCAGGAAGAGGCAAGCATTAAAACCCTCCACCCCGCCCCAGGGGAAGGTCTGATGAATATGCATCTGCTGTTGTAACATGGCTGCCTCTCATTGGCCCAGGCCATCTCCTATCATGTCGCAGCTGCTGTTGCTAAGGCCCTTAGGCAGACCCAGGTTGGTTCTCAGGAAGTATCTCATGCACATGCTCTCATTACTGGTTTGGGCCAGCTCGCCCTCAGGCCTTTTATACGTAATGGCACATCATACCCATCACCATACAGAAAACCTAGGGTAGGGAGCATAGTGAGGAAAGACTGGACCAAAGCAAGACCGAAAACAGCTGGGCAAACTCCAAACTGCATCTCCATGTCTGATGTCAAAGTGCTCTTCAGATCTGCAACTCCTCCCAGGTTTGTTGACTGCAACACACTTCTCTCTCTTGGGCTGGTTACACTCCCTGTTAGGTGCTCTCCTTGGCAGGTATCCCACAGCTCTGGCATCTCCAACATCTGGGGTCTCCAAAGCAGTCTCGGCTTCTGCGTCACAGCTTCACACGATGGTCTCTCTGTGCCTCCAATTCAGCGACACCCCTGTCATGTGCCTGCCTCAGCGGCTTTCCTTAGTCATGGAGGAATGTTCCATAACCCCTGTTTTCGATCCCTAAAGCCAGAACTAAGTGACTGAAGCTGCCAGGTTCTGCTGCTTGCTGGAGCTGGAACATGGCCCCTTCATTTAATTACATCTGCACCAACTTTCTGTTTTCCATGGTTTTCTCCACTGCCTAGGCTTGGCTGTCCTGGAACTTGCTCTGTAGCCCAGGCTGGCCTCAAATCAGAGACCTGCCTTCTGAGCGCTGGGATTAAAGGTGTGTGCTGTCACGTCCAGTCTTAAGCTTCTCTTTAACTCATTTCCCAGGTCAGAAACTTAGCTGAGTAAGCTCTTACCCTGAGGTCACCACTCCCTTCGTTCTATTTCTTCATCTGTTTGTCTCCTTGCACATAGGACTTAGCTCCACTCCATTTCCTGGTGATCCATTTCAACTCAAACTTTACATCTTGTAATTTACCATTTAGCTTGCTCCAATGCATTAGAAATCTTCATTAGACTTATTACGAATAACCACTTGACAGAGCCTATACTCGGCTTTTCTGAGATTTCCTCTGACAAAGGAATAAATGCAAAACTCTTGACTTAGCCTCAGGCAACATCTGTGGACAAGGGCAAAAGGCAGCCGCATTGTTCACCAAAATATCACAAGAACGATCCTTAGGCCAAATATTCTTCTCTAGAAGCCTGTAGACAAGTTTCTAAATGGTCTTATTAAATAAAATACTAAGAGCCCAATATAGGGGTGAAAGCCTTAGAGATCAGGGAAATAGCCACCAGCTTACCTTAACTCACCACACCACCATAGCTTCCCAAGAGAGCTACTTCCTGTCAAACCAGGCTTTTATTGCCTTGCTGTTCTTCCCTCTCATTGGCTCTTAGCCCAGCTGCCTCACTTCCTTGTCACTGCCAGTCTGTATAGACCTCCAGGTCTCTATGGTTGGTACTGGGATTAAAGGCATGTGTCACCACGCTTGGCTGTTCCCTAGTGTGTCTTTGAACACACTGAGACCCTGCCTGCCAAGTGATCACATTAAAGGCACGTGCTAACACTGCCTGACTTTTGTGTTAATGGCTTGCTATTACCTCTGATCTCCGGGCCAACTTTATATATCAACATGCAAATAAAATATCACCACAGAACCCCTGGAGCCAGGCCCCAACAGTTCCAATCAATCATCCTTAGCACCACTGTCTTCCATGCTCCTACTTAGATGGTCCATTAAACATCACTTAAAGCATTCCACTGCTTTCTGAACCCAAACTGCCAAAATTCATATTATTCCAAACAAAAACATCGTCCAGTCTATCGGGCCAATACCCCAGTCCCTGGTAACCACTTCTGTCTTTGTAGGAGTTCCTATCACTATGAAGAGACACTGCAAGCATGGCAACTCTTAGAGAGAAAAACATTTCACTGGGGCTGGCTCGCTTACAGTTCAGAGGCTCAGTCCATTATCATCATGGTGGGACATGGCGGCATGGAGGCAGACATGGTGCTGGAGAAGGAGCTGAGAGTTCTATACCTTGTGCAGGCCACAGGAAGTGGTCTGATCCATTGGGTGTGGCTTGAGCATATCTGAGACCTGAGAGCCCTCCTCAGAGACACACTTCTTTCTTCTAAACCATTTTATTTTATTTTATTTTATTTTATTTTATTTTATTTTATTTTATTTTATTTTATTTTACTTTCTTTCTTTTTTTGGGGGGGGGGTGTTGTTGTTTTTTTGTTTGTTTGTTTGTTTTTTGAGACAGGTTTTCTCCATGTAGCTTTGTGCCTTTCTTGGAACTCACTTGGTAGCCCAGGCTGGCCTCGAACTCACAGAGATCCGCCTGGCTCTGCCAGCAAGCAGGGTGAGGGGGGTGCGAAGGCATGGGTGCTGT